TTAATAGAAGTCATTCCTTTGAAATTGCTGTCAATCATCATTTTCTAAGAGTTTTTAAAATATTCCTATCTTTGCACTGGCATAAGCATTGGGTTTTCTAAAAGAATCTCTACCCAATGGAAGTATTACTCTTATACATGAAATATTATGAACTTTTGTTTCCCTTTTTTGTAAGTTATTCTACACTTTCTGCACATTTGTGCTTTATATTGAATATAAAAATAGGTCTTTAAAAGTCTATTTATTTTAAACTCACTAAAAAACTACTTGCTTGTGAAATTCTCTTACAAATTCACTGCATCCATGTAGAGAAGATAAAACTAATTAGGCAGTTAATTGGTATAGGTAGTGTGTAAAAAAAATCACAGCCTTCAATGTGGGGAAAAAAAGCCAAAGGAATAAAATTGTACAGTAGGTGAAATGTTAAGGCAACTCATTGTATGGAGTTTTTTTTTCTTTTTATTTAGCCATTATTAGAAATGAAGATCAAGGGGAACTGATAAAAACAACCAAGTTCTCCACATAACAAGGAAAGTGGAGATTAATCCTGCAAGTCCTTCTTGAGGCAAAAAATTCCCATGAAGCTCAATGAGAATTTTTGTAACATGTACAGATTTAAGGCCTTACCAGGCATCAAATATGAAGATGTGGCAAGGGTAGAGAGGAGAAACTGAGCAAATACCTGTTTAATATCAAAGAACTAAAACTATTTGGCTCTGATTTTGACTTCATACCAGCTTTACATTGGTGTAACTACAAAGTTGCACTTGATTTATACTGGCGTAAGTGACAAATCAGACCATACACATGCAAACCACATTCTATAGACTCCACACCTGGAGAAGGTCACTGAGAGTAGGTGTGGATGCTTATAGAGTATGTCACATTTCTGAGACACACCGCATGCCCTTTGAGCCCTTGTGAAACTTTGCCCTTAAAGGATTGAAACATTTTTTGTGAGTTAGTTCTTTTAAAGTTAAGGAAAGTGAAAACAACATTCAATCACCAAGAAGAAAAATGTAAGTTTGAGTTCACTTTTGAAAAAAGTTCATTTTAAAATCTAAAAAACCATCATGTGTCATTAGGTCTTCAGCTGAACTGAAATCCTTAGTGTTACAAAGTAAATTGTCTTTCTACAGATAAAAAAATCAGTTTCCTCTTTAAGTTTGCTTACACTTAGAGAGCTATGGTCCAAGACCTAATGAAAAGGAGAGAGGTGCTACAAACCCTGGACCAAAACAATTGCTCCAAGATGGCAGTCCACAAGAATTATATTTACATTTGAAAGTAAAGAGCTGGGAAAATGGATAAAAGTGTAAGAGGAGAGTTGCCTAACTAATGTGATCTTCCAGTCACTAACACTGCTCTTACTCTCACAGAAGTCAGTAGGAGTTAGGCATTGATTTCAACAAGAGCAAACTAGCCCCAAAAGAGGGAGTGGCTTGCTTGGGGCAAAAATGTAAAGTTAAGCTCTGAAAATGGACAAAAAACTCAAGTTTTCTGGACAAAAATTATAGACTCTCTCTCTATACACTGTACCTTTACTCAATATATCTATCTCATATATCATAGAGTTCCCCCACATACCCCAGACTCTCTTTTGACAGGGTATTTTATTCCTTCAACTAAAGTAGACCTGCCTGACTGCTCTATACTTTGATAGCTTAGTTATCCTTAATTAATATTTTAAAAATGGTAATTTAAAAAATATCCTCCAAAAATATATGCGTCAAAATTTTTGTGGGCTGACAACTAGATCTTATTACAAACTAAATCCAGCCTACTTTTGACCATAATCATTCATAACTCAGTGAACATTTGCAAAACACAAATGTTCAATTACACTGCCTATTATTAATACACAAGGATGCATATCAGAAGGAAGGGACTGGAAGAAAACGTCCGCACATCCTCTCATGATAATTTGAAGAATTACTAAGAGAATTTTGGCTCAGTTTTAAAAGATGGGAATCTGATCAACTCATGCCATCAACCTAGCCCATGAACTAGTTTTCAACAGCAGGACAGCTAATGGCTAGGTTAGAGCACTTTATTCCTTCTTTCTTTCTTTCTTTCTTTCTTTCCTTCCTTTTTTTGCCTTAGAAGAGGTAAATGTCATTTGTTTTCAACCTAATTTCTAAGTTATTATATGGAGAACGCACTAATCATTTGAGACCAAAAACTGAAAATTCAAAAACTCTGCTTTATTGAGGACTATCCATTGCCAAGGATATTTTGTGTATTGGACTTCGGTTTGTTTTAAAACACAGTTTCTCATAAAGAATCATCACAATGCAAGACATAAATTTAGGTCCCAAGATATGCTATATGTCTTTTCTCAAAGTAAAGATTTAGGCCAAACAAACTTTTATTTAGAATCATGAGTGGTGTTTTATTATCATTAATATTATTATTCTTATTATAAGAGATCAGATTATATTAATCATTTTACTACCAGCTTATTTAACTAACCTAGATATTCACCACTTAAATGCCTAAGAGTTCTCTTTGATTAAACATAACATGCATGCAGTTTTTCACTGTTATGTTTTATTATGCCTTACAAATGTGTACGTAGGATTTTCCTTTTCAGCAAGTCTGAAAGCCTGTAGCAGTGGTTGCCACCAAAATACCAGCACAGTGAATTGTCCTTGTAAACAGCTGGATCATTTCTCAGTGGATCAAATTAAAAAACAAAACAAAACAAAACAAACAAAAAAACAAAAAACAAAAACAGTAAGAAGAAAATAAAAGGAGAGAGGATCAACCAGTGCCTAGCTGGGTGTAAGTCAACTTCGGGAGAAAGACACTGCCACCTTGGGAGTCTGTTGATGGCCATCAGCAGCTCCTGACTCAACTCTGATGGCTCCTACGAAACAAAAAATGCACGTGTGGCAGAGTCTGGTGGTCGGCAGCAGCCCTCCCCCCCGTCTCCCCTCCCCAGCACAGCACGGGGCCGGCTCAAGACTACAGAAAAAGGGGGCTGGAGCTTCAGCCCCACCGCTGTGCTGGGGCCGAGAAGCAGAGACAGAGACAGCCCCGCTACCCGGAGCATCCCTGCCTCCACGTCCTGCAGGCGGGAGC